CCTGATCTAGCTGGTGATCATGACTGTTAGTTAGAACAGTTTGCAAGTGTACAAGTTTAAAAACAACAAGCCTGTAAAGAAGGACTGGGGAGTAGATGGGTTTCTGTGTTTGGTGGGATGATGTTTAATATCCCAAACAGCCTCTGTAGTCTTCTTCAACCACATGCTAGCAACTGTGAGATGAAGCTTTATAAAGCCATGAGTGAGGTATTTACTGATGTATTTTATGTCGTAGAACAAAATGTATTGGCCTTGTCTTAACAACAGACCTTATTTCAGGCATCTAACCAAAAACCCAGTGGCTTCAGGGTGAGTGAACCAGAAGTGCAAAAACGCCAACTCGGTTCCAGATTTTAGGACTCACTGCTACTACGCAATTTATTTACTCAAACATGCTAGTAATCTGTGGCAGCAAAGCTCAAAAGTAGGGTGCAGGGATCCAGTGGGGGCCGTTACAAAGGTATAAGGGGTCATCAGCAAAATGAGAGAAAAGACTTCAGTGATCCCCAAAGAGAAATTTGCATGTTACAGCAGCAGAGACACGTTGAGAAGAGGGGAAACAATCTAGGCGCTATTTGTTGAACATAAGCTAAAATAATGTATTAATGACAATTATGGAAACATATTTTTTTAAAATACAAATATATAAAAGATTTTTCATTGTAAAACACCAAATTCAATGGTTTTCAGTTTCATTATTTTGTAGATAATCAGCACGGACCCTCAGTGGGTTTTGTTCCATGATAGTCATTTTACTCTAAGCCCTCGGTAACGTGGTCAATCGGCCTGTAATGTCCTGTCTCAGCTCGGGCGTGGGACGCACCGGTGCCTTCTGTCTGCTGTACGCGGCTCTGCAGGAGCTGGAGGCAGGAAACGGGATCCCAGACCTCCCACTGCTGGTGAAGAAGATGAGACAGCAGAGGAAGAACATGCTACAGGAGAAGGTCAGAGACACATGTCTGAAGCTGTGTTTAAGTTCACATGCGAGTTAACATCCTTTTGTAAAATGTTCATATACATATATACACTCACTGGCCACTTTATTAGGTACACCTGTACAATTGTATGCACTTCAGTGTAGCACTTCCATCTTAACATCTGTGTTTATGAAGCTCAAAATGTTTGTTTTTAGTGAAATTGTCAAATGTATAAATTCAATGATATGTTTATTACTGAGCTCATAGTTATGACCTCAGTACATTATACTATATTAGACTACATTATATTCAGAGGTGTTCACATGCTGACTGCAGCATAACCACAGAACCTGAGGGTGAACATTCTGACACCATGTTAACATCATCCTCTGTCCCCAGCTCCATCTGAAGTTCTGCTACGAAGCCGTGTTGAAGCACACCGAGCAGGTCCTTCAGCGCCACAACATCACTACTACCACCTACAGCAAGAACACCAACCACACAGCCACAAAGGTTTGACACTCATTTAGCCCCAAACTATTCATCATGCACATGCACTCACTGGTAAAATGGTCAGACTGGCTGTGGAGGGTTTGCTTTTACAAACCCCCAAACTATTCATCATTCACATCCCCTCACTGGTAAAAGGGTCAGACTGGCTGTGGAGGTTTGCATTTCACAAGCCTCTGCGTCCTGCACCTCCGACTGGCTTTTAGTATGAATAACATCGTTGATGTTCAGAGCACTGAACACTTTAATTCTAAAAATTTAACAGCAACATCATTCGATAGAAACACAGGCATTGTCCTTTTTCATTTGTTGTTTTCATTGGAACCGCTTTCTACTAAACAAACAGTTCCTGTGAGAACTGTTTTGTACACACGCTCCACTTTCCAGTGCTGTGAGTACCTCAAACGAACACTCATTAGATTTTTAGAAACAAAAATGTTAAAGATGGTCATTTCAAAACCCCAGTCAAATAAAAGCAGAACTTTCTGGATGAGCAATGAAATGTTTTTTGTAATATTTTTCACACGTATGTGAAAACTGCTGATTTTAATGGAGTAGACGAGTTCAGTGGTAGAACTGCTTTCCCTCTAGTCTTTGAACTGAAGTATTTTCCTCAGCTTTAACACTGTGTTTACACACCTGGTTGTTCCAAAGGAATTCGAGTTCTTTCATGTTGATTTCTCTGAGCACATCCTCCTCTTCTCTTTTCTGCAGCCTTACCCGAGACAGGAGTCCCAGCAGGACATTGTGCTCGGTGGTGATATGCCCATCAGTTCCATCCAAGCCACCATCGCCAAGCTCAGCATCCGGCCGCCCAGTGCCACAGATCCATCTATAGAGGCCCCCTGTGGCCTGCAGGAGCAGGTCAGCAACATCTTGCCTGATCTTGACATCCAGCCGTTCCAGGAGCCCTGCCCCCTTACAGATCCCCAGCCCCCTTCCTCCCTCAGCCCACCTGTCTCCCCCCCTACCCACTCTCCACCACCACCACCCAATGGCCTGGATGCTCCCTGCCCTTCCACTCCACCTGCAGCCAACCACCAGCCAGGCCCAGGTCCTGCACCTAGCATCAGCCCACCTCCCGCTTCCTCTGCTCCGACTCCTTCGTCTCTGGAGCTGCTGGCCTCACTGGCACCAGAGGCCTTCTCCATGGAGGGAGGAGGCCGGGGGAAGCAACGGGTGACCAAGCAGAGCTTCCTGCAGCCAGCGGAGGGTCAAGGTCTCCACGGGACTCAAGGGGATGGAGCACATGACCCACTCAGTAGTTTGGACCCCCTCTGGAGCCTCAACAAGCACTAAGATGAGTCTCTGCATTTCTCTAATGCTACCACCAGGTGTCAGCGGTGGCCTGGGGTCTTTCAAATCCTGCTTTTGAGAAAAAAAACTGCATCCTGGGAGTGCTGTAGGCTTTATCAGTGTTGGGTGCCAAGATGTGCCTGGTGGCAGATGGTTAGGGGTCAGTTCTAAACTTGGGTGTACTTCCACGGCTTTAGGGGTGTGATTCCTGAAACAAACACATGCTTTTCTCTCTCCATCACTGGGGGGCTTCTGGGACCAGATCACTATGCACTTCTCTGTATTCCTCTTGTCGCTCTCCGCTGCTTTATCTTACATACGTGATGAGTGGGACCTATTCTGCACTTTCAGCACCAGATCCGGGCCCGAACAAATCCCAGCATGCACTCCATTATCATCGCCTCGTTAAGGCACCGCCAGGGTGTGAGGAGGGTGTTTGGCAGCTCCCTTCTGCACTGTCTGTGATCATTGCAATGACTGGAGTAATAATGCATGGAGCCGCAGGCTGGAGGAGCTGGGCAGAGCTGGGCAGAGCTATAGTAAGACATGACGACCCATGGATTCAATCAGAATGCGTCGCTCAGTCATGGTAACAGAGCAGCATACAAATCAGCACGTTTTAACAAGCCAGTTTCTTTTCTTTGTAACACTGTAGATATCTTAAATAAAATTAGACTATACCAAAAGTCCTTATGGAGAAAAGTCACTAATCATTCATTACTGTAAAAATACAAAAATAAATCTGGTAGACAGACAACTGTTGTGGTATTAAAGCCTCTTTATTTGAAAATTAGTACAAAGTCTTGCGGTTTTTTGTTACAAAATAGTACAGAAGTTACCTCCAGTACTACAGCCTGTGTAAACTGTAGCCAGCCAATGAAAGGAGGAGGGCAAAGGAGCAGACCTGGAGATTGGTCGACTTAACTGTTGCATATTTTTGTTATGTTCCACAGCTCTGATTTTCCTGACAGCTGTTCGTAGGAACTGTTCCCTTTTCAGCTTTCACAACTCAAACGAGAACAGTGTGTCAAGGCTGCATCCAGACTGTTGATATGGGACAGTGACAGTTGCATGAATGAAAGCATCGGGATAAAAAGAAGGTATGTTTGAAGCTAGAAAGCAACAAGCATGGTTTACCGAAATAAATTGGAGAGAATCGTATTCAATACCTGACAAAGTACTGTTGGATATGAATTGTTACGAGGCCAAATCCATGTGACAGACCAAAACATTCATGAAAAGACTAAGATTCAGTTGAAACTGCTACACTAACCCTCCCTTATGAACGTGCACTGTATTTAACAAAGAAAAGATAAACTGGTGGATCTTACCCCATAATTATGACTCATAATTAAGAGACTGTTTGATCTTTTCTTGTAATTAATTTGTTAAAACCTGAAGACTGGTAGGCACGTTCTGCAGTGTTCCACCCCCTGCATTATCTCACAATTATGAGAAATAGATATGAATTATGAGATCCTGACCTAGTAGTTTAAAATCTGTTTTTTCATAATTATCAGATAAGATCCTCTAATTCCTTTGCTTTGGTGAATGCAGTGAGCTTCCATACGCCTCCCTCAAGAAAAGCATTTCTAGGAATCAGCTTGTTGCTTTTTGGCAGTGTTAGCAGAAGTCTTACAACACATCCTGTGACTTTAGGGGGTGCTGCTGCATGGACGGTACTTAGTTTAAGTTGTTGCTAATTCAGTCTTAAAGCCAGTGAAACAAAGGCCAACGACCTGTCAGTATTTCAATGCTGCATGTTGTTCAATTATGACCTTCTGATGATGCCTGATTTTTTTTTTGTGTGTGTGTGTTATTCAGTCTTTAATGTGAACAAGAGGAGTCCCAGTTACCTGCTAATTACTGTACACAATGTACACATTGTTTGACTGCCTGGTGCAGGTCAACAGAAGAACAATGTCATGTTCTGACACTGGTCATCAAACTGTGAACTTACTCTGTCAGGTGGTTGAACAATGTAGCATCTGAATACTGTCATCTCAGTCGCCTTTCCTTCATCCATCAGACTGAACAACATTAACAACTACTACTTAAACAAGGTAACATCCATGTGGTTAAAGGCCCCTGCGGTCACATTTTCCACTGGTCACAGAATGTTGTGTAACAACTGTTAACACGTTTGGCACAGACTGGAAACGGAAACAGCTACTCTGGCGACACCAAAGGCTAAACATCTGCCTCCTGGCATCTTTAAAAGCTCATTAAACTAACACTTTATATCTTATTTGTGTAAAAATTTAAACGCGCCCTGTTCTGCCAGTAACTCTCCGAAGCCCAGAAGCAGTCGAGCACATGAACTCCTGTGGAACAGGTAATTGTCATTTTACACCTGTGTCTTGTACAGGATGCTAAAAAAAGCTAACATGTTACTCAGTGAGCTTCAGAATAGCTTCTCCATGGATTCTGTTTCGCCGTTTCCAGCCTTTGTGCTAGATTGGCTGCAACATGAAATGGAGTGCTATCAATCTCATTCAGCTAGCTGTCCCACAGTGTCGGAAAACAAAGACAAAAACTATGTGTTTTCATTTCTAAAGCTTTCTTCATCATTTAAGTTACATTGCAAAGTCTGGTGTTACTGGGATGCGGGTACCGCCGCTGTCAAACTGAATACTGACGCTGAAAGTCAGCAGTTATCACCTTCAGCTGCCTGTTCTATGCCAAATGACAGCTGCTTGGTTGCAGCATCCCGGTGAAACCAGACCCAGCACCTGGCATCAACTTGGTTTGCGAGTCTAGTTGTGTCCACATTCCCCAAGCTGATGTTCGCAAACTACCTGGTGTGTGTGAGCACAGGGCTTAGAGAGAGTTAGTAGTGCAGCAAATTAGTGTTGTGGTGCAATACTGTAAAGGATTTAGTCGCTGGTTTTTAACGGATTTGTTCGCCACACTTTGTGTGAGTACATTCAGTAGACACAGATACAGCAGAGTTCGAGAAAATACATTCTGCACGTTGTTGGTGTTACGTGAGGGGAACGTACAGAACCTGCAGGGTTACGTTCTCTCAGCAGGCGTCCACAGTGAAGAAGGGAAGATCAGGCATAGACTAAAACATTCTCCAGAAACTTTAAAGTAAGAACCACTTAAATGTTTTTAGAATAAAATAGGATGTACCGAGATGTTGGTCGGTTGAGTAGGATCACAGGATAAACTTGAAACCTTTTAGGAACAGGAGACTGATACATGTATCATTCCTGTGGATGAGGAGCAAGTGTTACTTTCTCTTATATGTACTAAGTTTATCTTAAATTATTTTATTTAACTTGGGATCAGTTGTTTAGCACTGAAGAACTGAACCAATTTTATTTTAGATCCTGCAGCTCCCACAGTATTTACAGTTGTTATGAAACATTTCACTTAGTCATACAGTGTACATCTAATCCAGCTGTCCTGTAATAGATCCTCCTCCACAAAGGTGAAGGTGTTCACACAGTCCCAGAGGTGGGCGTCACCTGTAGGATCATTTTAAAAGATGTAGTTTGTGCTGCTGTTGAACTGTACTGTGTTACACAAAGAGGTTTCTGTCGTTTAACTTCGCCCCATTGATATAAATGGTGTGGGCACAACAGAAATGCCTGTCAGTATAACACAGCACAACTCAAAAGATTCACAGACATCTTCACAGTGAACGTGAACATGATCACCTTGATGAAGGAGTTACTGAAGGACTGGTGACTAAACTGAAGTTGTTTTAGCAGTAACACTTTATTGTACAAGCTGCGACTTGCAGCGTACTTGGCCCACATTAAATGGCCTTTTCCTCTCCTTGTTGCCTTTCTTCCTATTTTCACTGAGCGGCTGCAGAAAGAAGCAGCAGGTTTTAAGACCAACTCCCCTTAGGCTTGCACCAACAACATGACAGTCACTACAACATGTACATGGCCTGACGCTGGACAAAGCAGAGTAGCCATGGAAACTGTTGAAGCTGAACCAGTTGGAACAAATGGTAAGCTAAAATCTGTAGAGGGGGAAGTTAAAAAAAAAGTCCGGCAGCCAGTGTAAACATAACATCAGCCAGCGACAGCCTGTGAAGGACAACACCAGTGCTGTCATCCAAAATTCAAGCAGTTTGGAAAATGGAGGTAGCCTGGTGAAAGTGAGCAGACAGAGGCCCCTCACAGAGCAACTGTGAAGCCCAGAATCAGAGGCCACAGCTGGAATAAAAGGAGGAGCCTTGTCCCCCGACAGCCACCCCATCTTCCCAACCACCTCAGTGTCTCCAGTTCAACCCTGCCAAACCTTACATTTATCACAATATTATTATAGTTAAGAGCTAGGATTAGCCATTTATAAACATTTTTTAAAAATGCATTACTAATAAATAATAGATTTATAGATTAAAAAAACGGCCTCCCCTTCTGGAGGTTTACTTTATACAGTAATCAGCTCTACCTCACACACACCCTTCACACATTTTTCCTCATCAGTGTTTCGCCATAAAAAAGGGTCGAGATTCATTCATTCAGTCCCTCCACCCACACACACACACTCAAATATATCCATGTATAACTGCTCAGCTCCTCCTGACAGGCCGTAAA